GCTGGGTCATCATCTGGCTGGCCTGTTATTGTCAATGAGGAGACAGTGTTTGGATTGTCCTGTCAGTGTCACTGAAGAGACAGTGCTTAGGTTGTCTTGTCAGTGTCACCGTGGAGACAGTGTTTGGATTGTCCTGTCAGTGTCAGCGAGGAGACAATGCTTAGGTTGTCTTGTCAGTGTCATTGAGGGGACAACGCCCAGGTTGTCCTGTCAGTGTCATTGAGGGGACAACGCCCAGGTTGTCCTGTCAGTGTCACTGAGGGGACAGTGTTTCGATTGTCTTGTTATTGTCACTAAGGAGACAGTGTTTGGATTGTTCTTACAGTATCACTGTGGAGACAGTGTTCGGCTGTTGTTACAGTGTCACTGAGGAGTCAGTGTCCGGCTGTTGTTACAGTGTCACTGAGGAGACAGTGTTTCGATTGTCTTGTTATTGTCACTAAGGAGACAGTGTTTGGATTGTTCTTACAGTATCACTGTGGAGACAGTGTTCGGCTGTTGTTACAGTGTCACTGAGGAGTCAAGTGTTCGTCTGTTGTTACAGTGTCACCGAGGAGACAGTGTTTGGCTGTTCTTACAGTGGTTGTTACAGTGTCACTGAGGAGTCAGTGTTCGGCTGTTGTTACAGTGTCACTGAGGAGACGGTGTTTGGCTGTTCGGTCAGTATGTTCCACCCCCTCTGTCAGCGTTACAAGGATATAAGGGCTGAACCTTAAAAAGCACATTCTGGTTCCTGAAACACATCCCCTGCATCTCAAACAAGGTCACCAGGGATGGGGGAAGGGGTGACAGCTGTAAGACTGTTTCGTCATGCCTCGAGGAGTGGGTGCTAATTAAAAAAAAGAACATTCATGGAGTGATAATAGGGAGTGTATGGCTCAACTTTCTGAATGCAGAGTGACATCTGGTTGGGGGACAGCATCTCTATCGTGTCTCTCTGTGAGACAGACCTCCATGTGAGAGGAACGACTCCCGTGTCCCGGGGATAATTATCATGTCCTTTTTAACCCCCACCCCCACCCCCTCCAGCCTGTTAGCAGCAGCATTGAGATTGGGTGTGTGTGTTGGTGTGAGCAGTGTGACCTCTTTTTGGGAATAAACTGTAAAAATGATCTCTATCCATGTGCTAACCTTCATAAACATTTCATTGCATTTACTGTTCATTCCCCACCAGCGGTTTCCATGGAAACCTATAATAGTCAAATCAAACCGTTTGGTCCGTGGTGAACCACAGACTACCAGGAAGACTGTTAGGACCCTCTTCATAGTGTTCTTGTTTGAAGTGCCTTCCTTTCGGTGATTTTCGGCTACACTGGCTACATGTCTCCCCCTCCTGGTCATTCGACAAACTGCCTGAGGGTGAATTCTAGAGAATATTTTGTCCCTCGGGAGAACAGGAATTTTTAGCGACAGTGCTTACCTTTTGGTCCAGATGAAACTTCTTATGAGTTCGAGAGTAGGCTGGTGATATACAAGCTTATAGCTAAATTAAGGGAAGAATATTTTTTCTACTTATAACAGTGGAAAATTTTGTGCTGATTACAAACACTGGTTTTAGATTTTCATGTATTTTCTTTCATCGTTCATAACTTTGTGGAAAATGTACTTTCTTACCTCTTAATGGCCCATTTTTACCTATATTTATACAGGATTGCTGATTACTTAAACCAGTGTCTTCTATTCTATGTTTTGTTGAAGAGTTTAAAAAGGAAACATTTAACCTTTTTGACACATAACAGCAAACCTTTTCCAAAAATTAGAACGGGCAGACGAGGCTTTCTGTTTACCAGGCATTTTGTTTTGGGTTTTAATGATCTATGCTGCATGTGTTCTGGTTTGAACGTGAACCACTCCTAGTCCTGATTACGTAGGAATCCTCTTTCAGCAAAACAAGTCATGATACCAGCCAAAGTTTGTGTCCTTTCAATTATTTCTAATAGAGAAATCTCCAAAAACTAATTGATTTTAAGATCTTATGCTGCTGGTAACAGGTTCTTACTTATTTCAACTAATCAATTGAATTGAATTTCTATCTGATCTACAGTGTTGGGGAGTAACGAGTTACATGTAACGGCGTTACGTAATTTAATTACAAAAAAATGTAATTGTAATCCGTTACAGTTACTAGAGAAAAAAGTGTAATTAAATTACAGTTACTTATGGAAATATTCATGATTACAATTTTAGTTACATCATAAGATTGTATGCAAAACCTTGCTAATATCTTTAATAACGGTATTTTTATTGCTTTTCATGTTCTTCTTATGCATAACATCCTCCTTTGCTATTTCCCTCCACAGCCGAAAGTTTGAAATGATTCGATGCTTCTGATTGGTTATCCTGTCGCTTCTACATTTGCAGCCAATTCTGCTAATTAATTTGTTGGAGCGGTCTGAGTTTCTGTTGCAGGCAATGGCAGACAAGGAAAGGAATGCATTCCATTGTTGGAAATATGAGTACCGCGCTTTAAAGCCACACTGGCACTTCTGACCCCATTGACAGAAAATGTGCCGTCCTCCTTCAATATGCTAAGGTTATTGGTAATTTATGTTAGGTCTGTTATTAGCACTTCTGACATGCTATGTCGTATAGAGTTTTGAAAATTCACTAACTAGCTAACCCCTGGGTGATGTAGCATTACCACTCTGCTAACCCATTTTATTTTATAGTGCTGCGAAGACACTGTTTTAGCTACTCCGTGATTTGTGATTGAAAAATTGACTTAGAGAGATTACACAATCAGCTGAAATTTCATGTCCTGTCTGATGCAACAACTGTTCAGATCAGAAGCAAAATGGAACCATTTATTTTCGCAAGTATATAAAATGTTTGTATCATAATGTAATTCTGAAGCATCACAGAGTGGTCAAATCACTCGTAGTTTATCTTGTTTTGACTCCCAAAAAGTTTATATTATGGACACACATTAGAATTTAACAATTTTTTTTTGACATTTTAGGTATATTTTATGTAACATTAATGTTATGACTTGTTACACTGAGGGAATCTGGGTTTTCACTGATTATGAATCTATTCTTACCCATTGTTTAAAATCATTATTAGGCCTGTATGGTATGTTTGGTATCTTTATTAAATTGATCAATTATAATCATGTTAATTCATGTATTGAAAGGAGTTTGACAGTAGTCAGTGTTTAGTACTGCTGTAAGGCAAACACTACCAGGTTTTATTTATAAATGGTTAACGGTTGAGAATATTCATTCATAATTTAGAAAGTAATCAAAAAGTAATCAAATGTAATCGGTTACATTACTTTCATATAGTAATTGAAATAGTTGCATTACTATTACATTTTAAATAGAGTAACTTTTAATTAGAGTAAATTACATTTCCAAAGTAATCTTCCCAACACTGCTGATCTATATGTTTAATAAACAAAAACATGTGTTTGGTGATATTTTTCATTCAGATTCTCTTTCCATTCTCAGTACATTATGATGACATAAATATTCTCTCCAGATGATTCAGATGATTACAGCGTAATCACTATGAAGGAAATTAAAGAAGAACAGTGAAACTGATCTGAATATCATTTGCACTGTTAACTATATATTTCACCTCCCACCTGTGACCTTACAGAATAATGTATCAAGGTTTAGTATAAATGCTGTATCCAATTAAGGGAAACATTTTAATGCAATGGGTCAGATTTCAAGCCAGTTTCAGTTACATTATTATTGAATGAGTGTTTCTCACCTTTTCTCTACTGGCCCCTAATGTACTGTGTGTAACTGGTTTCAGTCGCACAGCCCCACCTTGTGGCGTGAAGTTGAATTAAAACAGCCATCAACAAGTTAGTCCCAATGTGTGCTGATGCAGGGTGGACAGTTAACATGTACATCTCCAACTTGCTTTTGACTCTAAGTCAACATTTTTGAGCTCTTGACATAGTTGCATTAACCTATTTGTTTCCTTTTTTTGCGGCTTTTTGAGATATACTTATTTGTAAATGTTAAGAACATTTAGCATTTGTGCGCTGCCTAATCCAACGGGTCAAACAGAGTAGAACTGGAGTTCTTTAGAATTTTTGATTGTCTGTAGACAGAAAGTTAACCTAATTAAGTCTGTTTTGCCTGTGATATACACAATCTTTGGGTGATACTATAATTTCTTGTCTTCATAATGCAAATAACTTTTGTGTTGATGTGTAGTATTTATTAGCTGTCTGACATCCCAATGCGACGACCGAGTTTGGAGAAGACGAGATTATCTGTAATCCATGAGCCAGGGTGCATCTGGGCTTGCTGGAGGGCTCGACCTCATTTTGTCAGATGCTTGATGTGATATTTCATCTGTGATTGGAAGGAAGGCAGTTGACATCGAGGGGTGTTGACGAAGGGAAATCTGAGTGATTTCATTGGACAGGGAGAGCCACAGGGTTCTGCACAGGAATATCGTTCGACTCAAGCCAGCTAATGAGAGAGCTAATGATGACCCTCTTGGAGAAAGCAGACTTTCACAGGTGACCCTGTTCAACCCTAATTCAAGGACTGAGACAGCCTTGGGCTGTGGGGTGATCCCCACTGGGCTAGGAGAGGCATGTCACAGAGAGGCAGTATCCATCTCCTGTGATTGGCTGAGGGTGGCCATGACAACAACCAGGGTGAACTGAGGTCATTTGTAGCCTGATGTTTTTCTGTTTACTTTGAAGGAGGAGATGTCATGCGTCATTTATGAATGTTTAACCACTTGGAAAAGGAATAACAAGTGTGCTGTTTGTTAACAAAAATGTACCCTTAAAAGGGTGTGCGGATGTCTGTTCGGATACTGGCATGTCTGAATTCTGTACCTTGGATTTTTAGGTACTGTATCATCGTTCTTAATGTTTTCTTGTAGATATTATATTACAAAGTTGGACAGAATTTCTTTCGATATTTTTATAACTATTTATTGAGTGCAGGGGCATAGTGAATCTGGAGTTTGTCCCAAGATGCACAAAGCAGGGAAACATTTTTTCAGTTTGCTTTTTGTCTCTGTAGGCAAAATACCATGAAGATTTTGAGAAGACGAGAGGACGAGGCTTCACCCCGGGGATGGAAGAGGCCAACATGGAGCGGATGAGGCGGAGCAAGCAGATGATGGCCGAGGCGAGGGGAGGGTACCCACACACGGGGGACATGGATCCGCGCAGACCAGGCATCATAGTTGGTGAGTCTCCTCAACACCACAGAAACGTTAAAGCCGAAGTGATGATGTTACATGGGAAAAAAAGAAAAGGTTCAGCAAATGTCTACTTGCTTGAGTAGCGTCTTTTACTTTGAAGTTAGCAATGTTAAGACTCCTAACCCCAAAAACAGTTCGAACAGACATGCACATTTTTACATTATACATTTACTAATGGAAGAGTTCCTGCAATAATTCAGTCAAAGACCATCAACACAGACTCATATGCAATAAATGCAGTGATGCATTAAAATGCTGAACTGTTCCTCTGTAATACAGCAGTACATTATTCACAAGTAAAGACTTTGTGTGATAAGTGCAAGCTCTACAAATGGCAAGATCATTATATAGTCCAAGATGCACATACAGGAAAAAATGGGCATAATGGATATTATTAGATTAAAAATGAATGCGTAGAAATGCAAGCAGGTTAGAGTCCGTGCCAGGTTTGAGAAAAACAGCCATCCCAGCTTATCCTGCCCAGGGTTGGGGGGGCTTGGAGCAGGCAGCAGACAACTTAATCACTCCGGCCACACATTATGGACAATTTAGAGTAATGAGTCAGTAAAAAGTAACCTTCTGAGTGAAATCAGGAGGCAGTCAGGGCTGAATTGCAGACGAGATGAATGTTGCGGGGGGTCCTGTATTCGTAAGCCTCTGGGGAACTTCAGCCCACTACATCAAGTCCGGGCTCAGGAGAAGTGTAGCAAGAACTTGCAGTGTACAAAGGGCTGGTGATGCTATGGCATTTATCTATGGTCCATACAGCTCCGGTGCTGCCTGGAGCGTACCACCCAACCGGACACTCGCAGGGCTACGGTTATATGCACCAGACAAGCATGTCCTCCATGCGATCCCTGCAGTCTCCGCCGCACACCTCCGTCACGGTGAGTACCGGCACGCTCCTGGTCTTTCCCACAATGCTCTGCGGCACTAACTCCAATCCTAACCATGCAGAGAACCTACCGGGCCATCTATGACTACACGGCGCAGGACCATGACGAGGTGTCTTTCCGGGACGGGGATGTCATTGTGGGCGTGCAGCCCATTGACGAGGGCTGGGTGTTCGGTACGGTGCAGAGGACGGGACGCTCTGGCATGCTCCCCGCCAACTACATCGAGGGCCTGCGCTGAAACTCAGCATTCCCCGGCGAAGTTTTGACACCTTAAATCGGTCAAATTGTGACATGGTCAGCTTTCATCTTCTGCAGTAACATCCTTAAAACAAGGTCTTACACACTAAATATAAAAAATCTGGTTATAGCAACTTGATTCAATTAAGAAACTGGAAAATACTAAGGAAGACACTGTAAAATAGCGCCTCCTGCAGGACACACAAGCACCCCCACTACTCTTTACTGTGTAACTGACCACATCATCCATGTCCACAAGTAAGGCCAACTGAAATATATTAATGCGTTTTATTTTTATCTTTTTTCCTACACCTGTCTCTTTTTTACAGAAATTAGGGGAATTATTTTCCATTACTATTCTGTGCAAGTAAGCTTGTGTAATAGTTGTGATATTTTACTTAACTCCTTGAACACTTTTTTATGTTATTTCAAAGAAAAAATGTTTGACATGCCTTGAACTTAAGCGAGAGCGTTATGCCAAGTTCTAGGTGTGGATTAATAACTTATGCAAGAATAGATACTATGTATATTGCGATCCTGTGTTCTAGATGCGTTTTTAGGGAATTTTTAGTAATGAAGTTCAGGACCTTTGCTTGGGTTCCTGCAGTGACCATAAACATTTTCCTGACTAATGGCAAATCAAGTTGCATCCTGTCACACAATGGGTGACTCAGAAAATATCCCTTGATCGCTATGCTCGTCATGCCTATCGCTTTGGCGTCATTTTGTTTGACTACAAGCGGTTTGAGACACCGAGAGGTTCATTTAACGTCATTTACGTTCCCGCACACATATATGTACATATGCATGTCGTGTTAACGAAGTATTGAAAAAAAAAATGGATCTGCGTGTTTAAAAAATGTAACACGTTTACCACGGGACGACTGTTTATTCATAGTGACCTCAACCATTCCTTGGTAGATCAGTTACCTTTGATTAGTTTAAGCTGGTACTCAAAAGGACCAATTATTAAAACATAAAGTTTATAATCTGTGCATTATAAATGCTCATTATATAAATATCCTGTCTGAGATGGTAGGACGTCGCCCACATGATTCACGCACCTTCAAAGGGAAGAACGAGGTATTTTTTAGCTCTTGATATCACTGGCGACTCTTAGGAAGTGAATAGATGAAAATCAATGTCAAATATGCTTTTTTTTTTTTATTTAACAAAAACTTCATGCAAGAATAAACGGCTTTGTCTGTCTGGCCTTGTGATTCATGGTTGAGTCTGTATTTCACATCAGCGTCACATAGCGCTCAGTTTGTAGCACAACTGCTTCACACCTCCAGGGTTGGGATTCGTATCCCACCTCTGTTCTGCATACTGTGTATGACTTTCTGTCCAGACATACAGCCAGTCAAATTGGCGTCTCTATATTGCCCATAAATGTTGACTGTATGTGTCATAGGCTCCTGGCCCTGTGCAGGTTAACTGGTTAGAAGTTGGATGGATGGAACGAAAGGGGGAAAAAAATTATGGAATGGAATCACTAAACTGATACCCTTGTTGGTGAGAGAACTGGGTTCACCCTGGGCATGCACAATGACAGTGTGAGAACCCTACACACACTTGTTTGGTCTCTAAGAGTCTGAACCCTGCTCCTCAGATGACGGAAGTGAAGCAGAGGGTGACAGCCCCATTAGGAAGGAGGAGCAAGGCTGAACACACCTGATTCAACCTCTTGTGCTAATTACCACATAGCTGTTGAGCTGAATCATTTGTGGTGGAACAGCGAAAGAATTAAGCTACACAGGGCTGCGGCCCTCCAGGACTGCAGTTTGACACCCCTGCCATAGAGGAAAGCAAGCATTTGACTGAAAAAAACACATCCATCTGCACTCCACACTGGATTTAATAAGAAAAAAAAAATCGAGTGGCTCTACTCTGGAAAGGCTTTATTTATATATTTGATGATGCTGCAGATGTTCAAGGTGATCCGATAAGTATGCAGCTGTTTTAAATAGCAGAAGGAAATTATTCAGCAGCACATCACAGCACGATGCAGCAGAGTCCTGCAATCGTGCTGCAGTGACTGGACGCTGTACAGACACTCTGCTTCTCCGGGGTCCGGTGACCCCCAACCTCCCATAAATGTTATCACTTCACCTCTTGCCGTTGCCTGGAAACAATCTCTGCATTCCGTACCAAATGTGTGGGGTCGCTCAGAGCAGGATGCTGGGAACCGTGTGCCATTTCCAGCAGAGACGATCACATCACATTTCACTTCCAGCATTCACAGCTGAATTATACTATAAATAATTCTGTTAGGTATTTTGGTGGGAACCCGATAAATCACCCCTTACAAAGGATATAATTTTGATATCTGTCATATTACAGTCTCTCATACTCGTAAAGGTTTAATTGCATGCCATCATCACACTGAGACGCCACGTGCTGTCTGAAACCACGCCCCATCAGCACACACCCCGTCCCTATAAGCCAGACCCTGCCCCTATCAGTCAGTGCCCTACCCCTATTGGCCAGCATTTTCCCCTACGGGTCTATGCCCCATTCCTATCGGCCTTTTTTCATCTTGGCCACCTTCTCCTTGCGTTTCTTCACATGTTTCGGTGTTTTGTTCTTCCTCTTCTCCCTCTGTGCCTCCTTCACCAGCCTCTTCCTCTCCTGGGGGCAGTAATTAAACAGCAGGCAGTCAGAGTATTTAAATACTAAGGATGGGTTAGGTCACAGGCCTTCCCCCGTGACCTCTGCAATATTAATGACTATTAAAACCAACCTCACTAATGCCTGCAATGTAAATTAAGTGAGTACACTAAAGCACAAACTGACTGGCATGCCTTCTGGGGTGGCCCCTCCACACAACTCCAGACCCATGCAGGGTGAAGACCCACAAAAAACGGCTGGCTTTTATCACAGTATCCACTCCCCTATAGTCCAAATCCACTATGGTATCCCAGCCTGTGTCTGGGTCCTAAAGCCGGCCCCTCACCTTCTTATCCACCTGTGACTCCTCCCCCTGCCCTGTGACCTGGGATGCACCCTCAGGGTCCGACCCATCACTCCTGTCACCCTCTTCCGAACTAGAGCTGTCCTCGTCGCTGAGATCCTCCAGGAGAGTGGGGACCTGCCAAGGGACACACACACACACACACACACACCGTCACTCTGTGTGGCCCCACAGTCTGGCAAAATGCTCACTGATGCCATTAGTGAAAGGTAGGACAAATATGTATTTACACCTTACATTCACATTAGGAATCCCACATGGTACAGGAATTTTACATTGTATTTGTCCAAGGTAAGTGAGGATCATAGAGCAGCAGTGGAGCAACTGGGGTTAAGGGGCACGCTCTTGGGCCCAACGATGACATCATCAGTGACCTTCTGATCATGAGTAGAGAGTCCTCCTCCTCCTTAACCTCTCTTTAACTATCTTTTACCAAAACATACAGAAATCACTGTAGGTTTACGGTGAGATGGGGGTGTCTTTACCGTCTGCACTCCTGAGAGATCCTTCTTCAGACCAGTCACTGTCTGGTACAGGACCTACAGGAAACATGACACACAGAGCATGAGGTCACCATGACGAACCCACTGAGAATTGGACCCTAACCTAGTCTGGTGGGCCAGGGGGGGTTACTCACATTGTCATTCTGCACATTCTCCCCCTTCATCTTCGCCATGGCGTCCACGTCCCGCTCATAGTGAACCACCTCCGTCAGTGTGCGAGGAATGTAGGCGTTTTTGAACACCTGCAGATTCACATTTAAAAAACGTACAAGTGTAATTATCACCAAACAATATAGCTAAATTTGTTATTTGGTAGTGAAGTTATGATGTGCCATTAAAGAATCTGCAAACGTCATGTGATACCAGGCACTCGGAACGCAACAGGCTGGACCTGACCGGGTTGTAGGTAAGATGGGCACCGTCCCTCCAGAACTTACCTCTTCATCCACCTTGTCCTGGTTGGACCTTTCCTCTGCCGTCCTTCCCGCAGCGATCTCCATTGCCTACAGAGAGACAGAGAGTCACTCCTGACAGAGAGACACACACAAACACACTCACACACACACAGAAGCCCTGGGTTGGGTAAGCCAGGTAGACACCCGGTGACCCCTGACCTTCTCCAAGTAGTCGTCGATGTTGTCCCCTGTGATGGAGGGGTCCGTGATGAAGTCAAACAGCTCCCGCACCGTCATCACCGCCACCTTGTGCTTCAGGAAGAAATCTACAGGGACAGACAACAAGTACCCCTCCATCACTAGGGATAATCATCAAAAGATCCCAGTCACCCAAGCTACAAACTTTTCACAGTGCTACCGTGAGGCAGGCGGCCCTGCAATATGAGGGCCCGATTCAGCAAGCTCTGGGACAGATTCTTCTAACCATCAGAATGCTGAACAATGGTCAATAGACCCATTTACTGTATTACTGCCCAGCAGATCTGTGTATGTATTATATTTAATTGTAACTAAAGTTACATACTGTTGTTACTGTGTTATGATTAGTGTTTGTACTTCCAATTGTACTGTTTGTCGCCGCTGTTGTGACACCTGCACACTGACAAATGTCAAGTGATGTGACAAAGTGATGTAATGAATAAAGTGATGTGACAAAGTGATTTGGTTTGACAGTGGTGGAATCCTCACCATTGATGTTGCTGCAGTCCTTGCGCAAAAACTCCAGGGCGTGCGGGTGGTCGTGTTCCACGGACTGCGACACGTCGATGATATAGGCATCTCCATTATGATACCTGCCCTCACACACACAAATAAACTGGTTACTAAGAATAACCGAGGATGACTGACCTGGTTATCTCCTTCCTGGTAGGTGGAGGATGACTCACAGCATGTTGAACTCGCTGAGGTCGGCGTGGACCAGGCGCGCCTCCTGGTACATCTTCCTCATGTTCTGAATGACCTGTAGGTACAGTTCCCGAGCTTTGGACTCTGATAGTGTGGTGTTCTTCAGCAAGGGGGCAGGCCTAAATACAAGCACTGACATTAGAAATCATACAACAGCAGCCATGTCAACAATGAAATCTGGGTCTGTAGGGGAGAGATTTTTTTCTCTGTGAATACAGGTAGTTCTCGACTTTTACGAGTTAATTCGTTCCAAATTATCACTTATTAATTGAGAACTCATAAAGCGGGAGGTATTTTCCCAAAGAAATGTTAAAATAGAAATGATGAGTTTTGTTCCAGGCAGAGAATGTTATCAGAATTTTTTGCCAAATCAATAAAAGAAACGCAAATGTATTATTAGAATTAACATTTAATGAAAAATATACACACATTTAAGCAAAAAAAAAAATAAAATAAATCCTTGGAGAAAAGCAAACAAAAATCAAGCAAGGTATAAGTCAGACATGCACAGTCAGATATTTCACAAAGCAAAATGATCTGATAACTATCTGATAACGTTTTTGGGCAGCATGTGTTGAGATATGTGCATATTTAAAAAAAATATATATATAAGAAATTAAATTTAAATTTTTGCTGCAGAAAATTAATACTGAAATATACCCGCCAGTTCCCCAAACAAGGTGTGCATAATATTACCCACAATACACCAGGAGGCAGTGGGAGTAAACTCACGTGTCATTCCGGCCGATGAAGCCCATGAGGAGGATGTGGCTGCGTAGCATGATGGGCTCGGGACTGGGGATCTGCGCAGTCTGCAGCCTGGCAACACCCATACATATGCACACATACACACACAAACACCCACGTGCACGCACACACGCATGCACAAACACACACACACACAGTGAGAATCACCATGATCACCTGATCGGTGACATCAGGGTTTAACAAAAAAAGTGATACAAAATGATGCATGGACAGAAGCACACTTCAACAGTACCGATACCGAGAAAAGACTCCCCATTATGATCACATGACCAAAGGCTTTTGTGGGTGAGGTAACAAAGGATTTCAGAAGCTGGGCTTCGTTGACAGCACCATCACAGCAAAGTTCAGTGTCCCCAAGCATTTTAGAGCAGTTAAACCCCCTCCTGGATCATCCACTCATCCATCCATCTTCAAACCAACTGCCTGTGATCAGCTTCTCAAAAATAACAACACGACACCCTCAGTGAGTAAGGCCCGCCATCGTGAGAAGTTCACCTTATAAGGTTCCTCATCTCCTTCTCTGCCCATGTCCGCACCATCTTCCTGGGGTTCCCCTTGCAGTAGCCATGACGGAATCTAGGGGAGACATTTCATCATGAATAGCAGTCCACATGGTACCTTTGGAGTACCCCGCTGCACATCGTCGTCTCACCTAAACTCCCCACTGACGTATTTGTCCCGGTCTTTGAAAAGAAGGATGGAGGTCTTGTAAATTTTGATGGCCCGGCTTTCTCCCTGGGCGGTGGTGGCATGGTAGACATTTGCCTGTCCGTGCGGGAGACATAAAGCACCGGGGAAGAGATGTGAGCTGACGGGTGTCTACAAAACAATGCTCGAGATCTGGCACTGAAATACATGACAGGTTGATCGACGGCCCTGTGTAAAAGGAGTGGGGAGACTCTCGCCTCTTTGCCTGTGCTGATGCAGCCATTGATCTCCGAAATAACCCCTCGACTCAGCATTTTGAAGAGAATCATTCGAGTCCGTGGGTCCAGCACCTGCAGGAAGAAGATTTAAGGTTACTAGTAGTGTTGTAGTCAAGACCGCCTAAACCGAGACCAAGACACTGCCGAGACCGGAGGGTATCAAGACCAAGACACTGCCGAGACTTGAGGGTACCAAGACCAAGTCCAAGACCAAGACCAAGACACACTAAGGCGAGACCAAGACCAAGACTGGTCGAGACCAAGACCAAGACCGAAAACAGACTAGGGCTAGAATCGACATCACATTACCCAGATCAACTGTAGAGAAAAAAGGCATTGCTGTAAAGTGTCATTACTCGTTAAATCAAATTCATGTTATCTTTTCAATTATATTGTCCGTATGTCCATATGTCTCTCATTTAAAATCTCCCAGATTTGTCATAGTTACGAGACCTGATGGAAAATAATATTCTCAGCAATCCTCTCCTATAACCATTTTATCAGACCTCGTCAAGGGAAAGAGATGGGATGTACCAGAAAGATGTTCATATTAAGTCTCTTATACCAGGGACAGAGGCCTCGGGTAAGCTATGAATACAGCTATATAATGATCCTTTGCTTTGAATTGAAGAGAATGAGCCTCCAGATTGACTTGCACCTCCAAGACCGTGCTTTCTAATCAATGTAAAATACCTAATCTATTTGAATTATAACTATGCTATAGACTTCGCGGACATTTTCGGACATTTTTTTGCCGATGTATGATACGATGTGTATGATGTTTGTGGACTGTGAAGCACTGGCAGTGTCCGTGGAGAAAATGTATAAAATGTAACGTTTTTGAAATGGATGCATCTGACTGGTTGCATTTGAATTGAGGCGCGTAATAAATAATGATACTGTTCTGTGAGGATGTGCAGTTTTCTCTTTTTTTCCCCATCCCATCGAGACCGCTATGTCCGAGACCAAGACAAGACCAAGACCAAATAGAGTCGAGACCAAGACAAGACCGAGACCAAATAGAGTCGAGACCAAGACAAGACCGAGACCACAAAAAATTGGTCTCGAGACCAAGACCGGTCTCGAGAACTACAACACTAGTTACTAGTCATGTCTTTGCTATACAGTTCTCCTAAACCATGGACCTGCCCCCCAAATGAATACAGATTAGACCTATGGACCCCCTATTAAAATGTCTCAAACAAATAAATAAAGAATAATGACAGATAATACTGATAACTTGTCAATTTATGACACATTTTTGTAGAGCCCTTAGAACTGCTCTATAGACCCCCTGGAGGTTGTGAATCACAGGTTGAACCCCCCCCTCCCTTTTAAATCTACAAACACAAACCAAAACGAACCTGCTCAACCGTGGCCCTGTCCGACTTGTCCTTCACTCGATGTCTGTGATTAAAAAAAATAATACAGGGTTCATCCAAATACATGTCACTCATGACCAAGCATCAAGCTGAATAAAAACTCATTTTCAGAAATACATGTTGCAGCTGTAATTTTGAAGGCCAGGTGAGTGGAAAAACAGAGATGACGATCTACATACGCGTCTGCATCTCTCTGTCTCTGCAACTCTGTGACTTTATTGATTACTGAATCCACATAGTTTAGTTTATCTGGTAAAAATATAGAGGAAGGTTTCAGAATAGGTATTACATAATTATCTTACGTTACAATGCTAATCTATGCTTGTAAACTTGTCCTCACCCAGATTAATCCTGTGTTCAAATTTTCTTAGTGCTTTATCCATAGGAGTTGACATCTTCTGAGATTTGTTGCTTGGGTTCTGTCTGTTTGCCTGAAAAAAAACATGAACATTTTGTTAATAGCATTCAAATTAAATTACTTAATTGCTGTCTTGTCAGTAAAAATGGCAACGAAACTTTGAAATGATGGAGAAACGGTGCAATTTAACACAAAAGTGAAATTAATCACCGAACAAAGCCAATTTTACATGAGATTCACACTTCACTGGAATTACAAATGCATAGGGAAGCATTTTGCCGTTACTGCCTACCTGCTGATTGCTCCCAGTTCTGAGAGCCGCGTAGCGCTTGGTGAAATCTCCAGTAGGCTCATTCCAGTCCCACTCGTCATCTTCATCCTCCTCATTCGTATCCTCACTGTCCTCTCTCCGTTCGTTAAAATTTACCTGACAGATCTCTGCTTCCAACGCTGATGTGACCCTGGTCGGCGGATCAGAACCCGACTCTCCACTGTACATTATTTTTAGAAAGACAAATGTCTATTAGCAGATTCTGCATGTAAAAGAATGTCGTATGTAAAGTTATGTCCACCGTTTCAGGCTTCTTCTTTTTCAGTTCTATATCACGTTTTCTTGATATTTTTCTTTGCCCTCATCAGCCGTTGCTCTCTGTTATCTAGCAGCATCCACTGTCTTTTTAACAACAAATTCGGCCAACTGTTAATAAGATCAGCAGCTGACAACATACAGCATCTAACTTCTTAACTGATAGTTACGACCTTGAGGAACGACTGTCATGATCATGTACGACGTACTACCTGGGCCTATTTATGTCATAAACATAGATAAAATGGTATCAAAAACATATAATTCAGATGCTACTAGTTCTTCGACCTACAAAAGAGTACAAAATATATTACAAACCTGTCAAGTTCCTCTGCGTCGTCAAACTGGCCACGTATTATATTTGACATAACTAGTAATTCAGCAAACAAAATGTATTCTAATTAATAATTGGTAAACAGTACAGACACTCCGCCAAACTCCACCAGGATTCTTTCGATTGATCCTTCCTTAGATTTCAGAAACGTGGTTACGGATAACACGAAGGCTCAAACTTAATCAAACAACGTGAGGAAAAAACGCGTTTCGCAAATGTACTCCAGGATGTGACATCATAAAATCTTTCGTAAGTTCATGCATCATTCAATTAAACATATCTATCTCACGTTTTATTCAGATATATATACTAAATTATAGTGTGGTTTAGATTTTGCATATATGAGGTTGTTGCGGTTCTTCTCTATAACAGCAGAAAATAAAACTCTGATCTGCTGCATTGTTTGATTAAATTATTAATAAACTAGATATTATATCCGGGTATAATTTACTGTGCAGTACTTTTTCTTCATGGAAAGCATGGTGTTATTCTGCAGTGAGACAAAGCGGCAGGAGGCGGCGTTTCGGCATGCTACCAGAGAGGGCGCTGTTCAGTATGACGCCTGGCGCTGCCCGGATGTACGCTGAGCGCCTTGCGATGCCCGGATGTGCGCCGTGCGCCATAGCTAAACGCACGGGACGCTGTCCGGCTAGGAGGGTGATCCGAAGCGGTGTGAGGATAAGCTGGAAACAATGCTCAAGTTCCTACCCAAATTATTACTCTTGGCGCTCTTAGCGCTCCCGGCAGCAGTCGTCATCCAAGGTTAACTTCTTTATTTATAAAGCGCTGGCTTATTTCGTGGATTTTATTTTATATTTGAACGCACCAGTTCGCGGACCACTAGCCTTGTGGCTAGCCGCTTTGAATGCAACGCTGGTTATTTATTTTGGCGAATACTCTCTGTCGCCCAGCATTTTAGCAATTTTGCTGTGGGTTTGGCTGTGCGGCGGTTGTTAATCGTGATATATGCGTACGACGTGGATCGGGTTCCGTTTTATGCATAAAATGGCTGCTAACTTGGCTTTGCAAGATAATCCGCCGTTATAGCAAAATATTGGGTCTACGGGTTGGATTTGGTGTCCGTGTGCTCGGAATGGATGATAGATGTCTTTCAGCCGTGTCTTAGTCGCCGACCGTCTGTTGTGGTCTGAGAAACCTATGTGCCCCCGCTGTCCCAGACGTAGTGGTCGGGCTGACGTGTCCCTAAGCTGCCGTGAAGTCAGTCGAGCCTTACAATGGTCATATGCATACTCTTCTCCCCTTCAGTATGACCAGATGGGATCAACATGCCTTCCACATGTCATATTGCCGCAACATTTAAAATTTTCCTATTTATAACGAATATAAATATAATGAATGAACGACTTTGGTTCATTGGCATAAATCTCTCCTCGGGCCCGCAGACGCAGTCGGTTTTCGGGCGTTGATTAGCATGTGCCGTGTATGCAAGAATTGCTTATGAATTGCAGGGAATAGGGAATCATAAATTAGGCCTGCTATGCTGTATGACTTTTTGCAGTTTGTGTTATTGGGAGAATAAGGTTAACCACCCCTCATTCTGCATATTTAATTTAGGTTGATGAATAAATTTGATTGGATGATCTCAATGTGGTCTCTTAGAAACATTAGGCAACAGTGCAAGTGTGATTTATTATGCGAGACCAGTGTTGAAACTCGTTGTTGCTTAGATTTACACATATTCAATTCTGGCTTGGGAACAACGAAACTTCTATCCCATTCCCCCTCTGCACCCAGGTCCTTTGGTTGCAGCTCAGGATGCGACAGAAGATGAGGAAACCAGTGAGGACGTCATTTCGGAGGACGAAGACGATGAAGCAGAAGTGGAGGATGATGACAACACAGAGCTGGTAATAGCAGGTTAACTTGATGTTAAGAGGTGGTCATAGTTAGACTGCCTGTTTACTTGTTTTTCTTGTTCAATTGAGACGCTTATTAATATTGATACGCCATACAGGCTTCTTCTATTGCTGTACGTACTCCTTCATTCCATACCATAGATATCATGTATATCCCTGTACAGATGTGTATTTTTCTGTTTATTACATATATGTATATTGTACAGCTGTTTATAGCACTTTTGCACTATTTTACACTTTCTGATTAGATGCCAAACTGCATTTCATTGAGTACTTGTACTTGACAGTAAAACTGAGACTTAATCTAATAATCCAGACTGAAGAGAAGGAGGAAGATGAAGATCTTCCTTCAGGAGAGGCGAAGGCTTCTCCAAATGCTGATACCATCATCCTCTTTGTCAAAGGAGACGGTAAGGCTTCCCATGAAAAAGCATTGCTCCAGATTTCTCCAAAAAGTACCCTTTGTTGTGGTTGTTTGGGACACTTGTCCACACATGTGTAAAAGCCACTGAACACTTGACTTGTATGAGTGGTTTCCCCAACCTTTGATTCACCCCTGTAACCATGCTTCTGTCTGATTCGAACAGACTTCCCTGCCAACAATATCGTGAAGTTCCTGGTAGGCTTTACCAACAAGGGCAGCGAGGACTTTGTGGTCGAGTCCCTGGACGCCTCCTTCCGCTACCCACAAGACTATCAGTTCTACATCCAGAACTTCACGGCCTTGCAGCTGGGCACACTGGTGCCTCCCCTGCGACAGGCCACCTTTGAGTACTCCTTCATTCCCGCTGAGCCCATGGGGGGGCGGCCGTTTGGCCTGGTCATCAACCTCAACTACAAGGACAGCAGTGTGAGTAACCTGTCAGAGTACTATCTTTGACCTTCAGCAAGCAGAGGAACTAGTAGACCAGGGCAAGATGGCTTTGGTGTGAAAGTCTATTCTTTAAACCAGTGCTTCACAACCCTGTCCTTGGGGACCCCCAGATAGTACACATGGCAGGGAACAAAAACATGGACTGTCTGGGGGGTCCCCATAGACCAGGTTGGGAAACAATGTTTCAAACAACCAGGCCTCCCTTGAAGTTTCTTTAGGGATTAGTTGACTGGCCTATAAATGGAATATGATGGAATGTGTTGTTTGATATTTATTAATGAGTTGTTCCTCCTCTCCTGGCAGGGTAACGTGTTCCAGGATGCAGTGTTCAACCAGACTGTGACTATCACCGAGAGAGAGGATGGCTTGGATGGAGAGACGTAAGTGAGGGGCATCACGCTATACCATTGTGATGAAGGCTACGGATGGGCAATATAGCCTCAAAATTTTATCTCAATATTTACAGGAAATTTGTGATATTTGATGATATGGAAAAAAAACAACATTTTATCAGTGATTGCAGCTTGCAAGCAGCAGCATTTATCAGTGCAAAGAAATGAAGGGCATTTTCCATCTTTCTTTTCCAATGAGCTCCTGTCATTGATGATAGATCACCTAATTTGAAATGTGAATCTATTGCCACAAGGTGCCAGCAGCAGCATTATAGTGCAATAGTAGTGACACAGCAATAGTAGTCACATGTAAGCACAAAAGTAGCCTAGGTAGTGTTTTCTCTGGAAATCAAGTAAAAGTGTAACGCGACTGCTTAACGCTTTAGTTTAACAACAAATAAAGTACCGTAACCTTGTAACTCTTCAGGAGCCCGCACAATATTGTCAACCAATACAACTGGCTTCAATTTTTAAATCCACATATAAACAAACAGCAGCAATCCAAATAAACCTTTAGTCAAAATGTTAACACTCACTGCTTATAAAAATACTGTCAAAACTTAACAGTTGCTTTATATCTATTTTGGAATGAGGTAGAATATCAGTGCTGGAACTGTTGCATTGCCTCTAATCTCTTGTGTAAACATAAAATTGATATACCGTGAAATGAGGTACATTAGAATGTCAGTGTTGGAACTGTACAAGTAAATACTTCTAGAGTTAACTAGCCATCCAGCTGGCAGACACATCAGACAGAGCTTTAGATTCCTCGTCAAGATCAGCAGCTTTAATTTATTGTAATTTTTTCCTTCAGTATTACTACATAATTAATTTGATAATTCAAATGATCTCAAAACAAAAGGGTGGTTTGTATACTGTAAACAGGGGTGTCAAACTCCAGTCCTGGGGGGCTGGAGCCCTGTGTAGCTTAGTTCTTTCCCTGTTCCACCACAAACGATTCAACTCAAGAGCTGTGTGGTAGTTAGCACAAGGAGGTGCAAGGAGTTGAATCAGGTGTGTTAAATGAGGGGAAACTCAAAAATGTGCAGGGCTCTGGCCCTCCAGGACTGGAGTTTGACACCCCTGTTGTAACTTTTCGATGGCATTAGTGATATGAACGAGCACCTGAAGAGGAAAGGCACAATGGCTATTCTGGATGATGGCCTTCTAGAAAAGACAAAACCACCTTAAATGTTTTCTATTCATGTTTATTAAACTGCCATTAGTGTGACATGCTTTTCAGTATCCCTTGTCCTTATAGCTGCTAGATACACTCATTAAAGCCATAAAGTTGTCTGCCTGTTACCTTAGAATCTCCATTGAATAAGTGTTTCACAAAATGTTTAGCCTAGAATCTGAGTTTATTCTACATTGATTGATGGTGCCAGTATGTGTGTTTGTTGGGTCCAGTGTTATCATAAAGGAACCAAAATGAAAACAGGAACTAATTAAAAAAAAAAAAAAACTGAAATAAAAATGAAAGCTGTTCTCCTAAAAAATGTTGGACTTTAAACTTCAAAAAGTACCACCACACCACCGACATCTTTATCATGTTTACCCACAATATCTCCCCTCTTAAAAGATGTTGCGGCTGCTGGGCTGTAGAACTGGGAAAATGATTCACTTCCATAATGCACTTATTAAAACAGTCAGCATCTTATCTAAAGCACAGTGAATGATTAAATGTGCATGTCAGTATAACCCATCAAGCCCACAACTATTCTATGTGATTATATGGTGCATGTGCAGCAATCACCAGGGCTTCAGATGACCGGTGTAAACATTTGTCTGGACGCTGGCTTTTTGGTATTATACGGGCATAATTTTTTAAACAGATTAGTAGTAAACCCGAAATGTTAATAAGAGGCGTATTGTGATACGTTCGTAATCTGCATAAATTCAGCTTATGTTTGATAAGCATGTTCATCTTTAAACTGCCATACCACCAATGTCTTTTTATCTTGTCTGACCATAATTTTAAACTATGCTATCGCTTCCTTGATTCACCAAACCGGTTGCATGTGGCGTGCTCCGCTATCCGAATTTAATAAACACAAGGATATGCTGAATTTATACAGACTACTGACTTTTGAGCATCACAGTATATAGCTCAAAATGGTTTGATTATGAAATTGTGGGCATAAGTAGATGTCGTGTAGTGCGGAAAAACTGGTGTCTTATCTAAAATCCTACAGTGACATACAGTATGTTGTCAATTTAAACAAAAATTAAATGAGAATTTAAATTAGGTCAGTGATTTTTCTGGAGGACAATTAATTGAATTGATTAATTGATCCATTGGTACAATAGTTGATAAATTTATCTATAGAAAAACAGTTGTTGGTGGCAGCCCTAAATACATCAGGTATTATATTATTGATTTCACAACATGACCCTTTTTTTTCCACCGTGTAAAAATGTATACTGTTGCTATCGTGGACGGTATATGTCACAGACCTAGAGACTGCTTGCTTGTTTGGCTTAGGGAAGTACAAGACCAGCTTCCAAGGCCAGCCTGAATAAACCGAGCGTCAAATCTGCCTGTTTGTCTGTAGATCAATAGGTTGAGGCCTAAGGAAGATTCAGTTTGTATATTGACTAATTGTCTGGGTGGTGGTTAAGTAACTTGCTGTCTTCTCCACAGGATCTTTATGTATGTTTTCCTGTCCGGCCTGGGCCTGCTGGTGGTGGTGGGGCTGCATCAGCTGCTGGAGTCCAGGAAGGTAAGAGATGGGATGGACCTGGGGCACGCACTTAAGCATGTGAAGGCTTTGTGTTTCATCTCAAGTATGCAGAGACAGAATTAGCAGTAATGTGGGAGTAATTCTCAGCAGACCTTCAGACCTTCACTTCAGGTGACTGAACATTAAGCTTGAACACAACTAATACCCCCCACTGCTTTATTCGTTTTGTTTGATTACCTCAGACATTTAAACATTCCCTGTTACAGCCATCTAGATCTGAGTTTTGTCACCATTTAACAATATTTCAGACCACCACACGGTCAATATTTGACTTCATCTTGTTGCTGCGGTTTGTCATCTTCAGCTGTATCTTCTAATGGCAGAACTACTTCTGGAGAAAAAGACACGCCCTGACCTTTTTCTTACTCTGATGTACCCTACAGAGACGGAGACCTGCTCCCAAAGTGGAAATGGGGACGTCGAGCCACAACAACGTGGACATGAGCTGGATTCCTCCAGAGACCCTCAGCCAGATCAGTAAGCATTAGGGTTGCAAAAGAGTGGAAAATCTCCAGAAACTTTCCATGGAAAGTTAAGCTGGGGTATTTTGGAAATATTCCAAGGACTTTCCATGGGAACTAATGGGAAAATATGGAAATTAACGGAAAAATTCCCAGAATTTTGCAACCTCAGTGAGTATGTACTAGACTGCTAAAATCAGTTTACATCCCAGTTGTCTGTTCATCAGGAGATGGAAGTGAAAGTATAAAAACGGATCTCATTTTTTGATTGCTCTTGCTATGGTGAATTTATCTTTTTGGTGGCTTTTTGGCCTAAGAGGGGTGGACAGGATGACCTGAACACTATTAGTTTCTCTCCAAATCCTCGTCAGCATGGCATGAACTCGGTCCCTCTATCCATCCTGCTTTGCTTTACTTTATGCCTCTTCATCTCACCCTGTGCTCCAGTTGGCGTCCAGCCCTTTAAAGATGGGCAACTACTGCTATTGGTGTGGCTTCCTAAAGCTGTTTCTATTCTCCTTGGTGGTGCCTATCTAACTCACCCTGCTGTTTCTCTTCCCCTGTCCCTCCTTGCGGCCTCAGTGCAGAGCAGAAGAGGTGAGGATTCCACACTGTTTTCAGAGAAGGGTGGTAGCGTACTGTGTGTGTGTGTGTGTGTGTGTGTGTGTGTG